ACTTTCTATCTCATAATCATTCAGGTTTTACCCTCGTCAAATAATAGCTTCTAATATTAGAGCGAAAATAAGTGATGAACTCGTCCAAATTATTATAAATCACTAAATTGTCAATAACTAATTTGAAAAAAAAAATTGAAGCTTTTATAAATTTTCTCCAACTTAATTAATTGACATTAAAATATTGAATATTAACAATTCTGTTTTACACGTTAATTATAAAGGCAAGCATACTGTGCTTCCCCACCGGTCCTTGATGTCGACTTTGGGGCCACGACGGAGAAACAAGTCGATAACATCAGTGCGGCCCTGACAAGCTGTTAAAAACCCACAGCCATGGCCAACACAAATTTTGTCCAACCCTCTTACAATTTCACCTCCAAAGCTTTAATATTTGTGATGGGTTCTACTTTGCCTTTCACTTATATGTATATATACTGAGTTTTTGCAGATCTGGTCGGAGAAGATGGGTTGTGGCGTCCACGATTCAACGAAAAGCGGCCAGGCTTCTTGCTGAAATAAAGGAAAGGTTGAGTATTTCGACAACGTGCATTCTGTTGCAGCAGATGGCGTCTCTATCATCGTTGGAGTAGAGTCGTCGATGAGTTCTATGGAGAGAAGGAAGAATCTGAATTGAAGAGGGTTATTTGAGGGTGAAATGGGTTATATATTTTGGGCCGGTTTACCTCACGATATTTTCAAATTGTAATGATATGGTTTATTAAACAAAAAAAGAAAAAAAGAAAAACAGAAGACCACCTCATTCTGTCAAGCCGTAGGTCAATCGATTCGGGCAACGTAGCAGAATTGGAGCATCAATTTAGACGACGTGTAAGTGTTATTAATTGATAAATTATATTTAAAGTAGAAAAATAAATTACATTTAAGATATCCAATCACTTGCATAATGTCCTACACTCGTGCTAAATGACATTATTTTAAACTATATGATTACCAAATCATCCGATATGCCACGTGGCATTTAGTAGCTGGCCCACCTAACAACGCATTTTAGATACAGTCAACTCTAGCTGTTTATCTGAACCAAACGCGGCAATTCCTTTTTCGGCGCCACCTCCACCACCGGAGTTTGAACCCAACAGCCGCGTCGCCCCGCTCCGCCCTCTTCAACTTTTACACAATCTCAAGAAAAGCAAAAATTTAAGTAAATTCTTCCAATTTTTCAAGTCGGTTTTTCTTTCTATATCAGCTTCATTTTAGGGTATCACTTCAGATTTGGGTGAGTACCCGAGAAAATTTCGTTCGTCTATCTCTATACAATCTTCACCTGCTTTGCTGATTTGATTCTTGTGATTTGAATCGATTGTGTTTTCCTTTTTCGATGCGATTTGGATTGAATAAATGGCTTCGATTCGAAGAACACTGTCGCCGTACCACGAACGGCCATACCAAAATGGATCAATTCCGCTTTCCATACAATCTCCATCTCAGAAGTTTCTATCGAACACCAAAACCACCCTGTCTCCACTCCGTAAATTTCTTGCCGGAATTTTTATCCAAAAGCACTCTCGAAAAAATAATCACTTTTCTTGGAAAAAATCACTTTATCGCTGCTTATTGTTCTTTTTCCTAGGGTTTTTACTTGGCATGGCCCCCTTTAATAATGATCTAAGTGAAATGAAGAACCGTGATTTAAGAAACAGTGATTTCGCTTCTGAAATCAAACCTCCCTTCCTGAGTATCAAGCAGAATGTCGAAAATGTAGTTGACTGGCCTAGGGAAAACGATTTCGCGGTGGGTATGGAGGAATTAAAGGTTATTGAGAAGGCCAGAGAGAATGAGGATAGTAAAATATTGGATTTTGTGCCTCGGAAACAGCTGATTGTGGTGACACCTACTTATAACAGGGCGCTGCAGGCATACTATTTGAATAGGTTAGGGCAAGTATTGAGGCTAGTGAGGCCACCAGTTTTGTGGATTGTGGTGGAGATGAATGCTGCATCCATGGAAACTGCAGATATTTTGAGGAAGACTGCAGTAATGTATCGACATTTGGTGTGCTCGAAGAACTTGACTAATGTAAAGGACAGGGGAGTGCACCAGAGGAACACTGCGCTCGAGCATATTGAGTGGCACAGGCTTGATGGAGTGGTGTATTTTGCAGATGATGACAATATTTACTCCCTCGAGTTGTTTGAGAGCATCAGAGAAATCGAGTAAGCTATCATGCACTCTTTGTTCTGAACTACAAAAATAATGTACTTCACACCATTGTAATTGTCTGCACACCATGAGATTTAGATTAAAAATAAATAAATAAATAATGAAACATGAAAAAGTTGGTTATTTTTGGCTTTGTAGGATTTAGAATGTGGGAAATGATATAAAGAATCAAGGCTGTAGACTATAAGACATTAGCATTTCCTAAAATATTGCTATGTTTTTATTCTCAAATTATTATGGTGCGAACTTTAGGGATAACTATCTGTGCATTGGATGGTATATGTTAGTCATTAACATTTGTTGACTTTTGTCAAAGAGACCTCGTTTGAAGAATGTTGAAGGAACATGTGACATGGTTGTCAAGTATGTAACTTCCATGTAGAGATGCAAAAAATTAAGCCCCCGTTTGGCCCCCCATTAATTTCCATTTCATTTTTATCTTTCCTATTTTCAACCATACAATCTTCCATAAAATAATATTACACGTTAATGTAAAACTTTTCCTTCTTTTTCAACCCTTCATTTTTCAAAAAAAATACTATTCAACCCATTTTCATTTCCACAAAATGGGGGCCAAACGGGGGCTAAGTCTAACCCCTGTAATATACTTCTGGAAAGTAAAAGTGTACCAATAGAAAACATGCTTCTTTAAATTATCATAATAAATACATTGTTTTAGTGGGCTGCTGAATTTTCAATGTACTCAAATTTTTTATGCTACTTCCCTTATCCTAGTTAAGTTTTCTTTCTTTCTGTTTTTCTCCTTCCCTTATCCGAGTTAAGTCATAGCTGTAGCATGTAGTTTCTCAAATACTTAAACTAAATGAATACTAAATTGCCTGCATCAATATAGTCCTAGATTATCATTTCTATTTCTACTTATTTTTTAGGCAGAAATATTTTCATAGAATGCAACTGAGAATTTAAATCACCTACCTTATGTTTACCCACCTGTATTTCATTCTTTAGAAAAAATTACATCTAAGTAGATTTTCTTACCTATTGTTCTTACTCGAGTAAATATTTAGTTGGAGTGAGCATGTATTTCCCTTACTTTGAGAAGCAAAATGTTTGCTTTTAACATTTATTTTCTTTGAATAAATTACATGGCGCTGTCTTCAACATATGCTCCATTTGCATTTTTTTTTTCTCCTTTTAAGCTCTTCAACCTTTCATTAGTGGGCAGTATAGGTCTTTATTGATGGTTTTCTCATCGTCCTCTCCCTCCTCCTCGCGCCCCACCAAACCAAACACCAATCTCTGCCTCCCAATTTTCTCTGACTTTCAACTCTCCAAAATACCCAAACCCTTTGTTACTAATGTTGTGACCATTTAGTGATCCTGGCAAACTCCTCATTTAACCCGACGTAGACATGGTCTTGAGCTGGCTTTCCGAACAAATCTACTACCTTGACCCCCCCCCCCCCCCCCCTCCACTTTGGTTTCTTTCACAAGTCTATTGCGATTGTTCTTTCTCACTCTTCTATCCTAAAAGACATCTCCTTTTCTCATCAAGTTCAGATCGGTGGCATTTTGACGAAAAGAAGAGGGGTCTTGTTCTCTCTCTTACCTTATGCCAAAGCAATACAAGAAAGCCAGTGTGGTTTGGGTTCAAAATTTGCAAGGATTGTTACTTGGAATGTGTCTCAAATGACGGAGGGCCTTGAGATGGATATATATAGGGAAATGATCTCTAAAGTACCAGTACTTAGCTTATGTTAAGCACCGATGATATGAAAGACTATTTAATTGGTAAATCATTACATTTATGGGACTTACCATTACCTTATTTACACACACACATACATATATACCATATTAATTCATTGTTAGATAAAGATTTTGTGAGTTCCAATATATGAATTAAATATATATTGCACCAATAAATTTATATGATATCACTGGTGCTTAGTATAAGATGAGCATAGGTGCTCACTCACTCTCTCTCTCTCTCTCTCTCTCTCTCTCTATATATATATATATATATATATATATATATATATATATATATATATAAAAAACGTGTTTCTTCTCTTCCAGTTTGAGTCCTATCAGTTTCCTAAAATTACTATAAAATTTGCAAAGTAAACAACTAATAAAGTACTATAAAATCTATAAAACAAAATCCTAATCACGTTTCCTATATATATATATATATATATATATATATATATATATATATAGGAAACGTGATTAGGATTTTGTTTTATAGATTTTATAGTACTTTATTAGTTGTTTACTTTGCAAATTTTATAGTAATTTTAGGAAACTGATAGGACTCAAACTGGAAGAGAAGAAAAACAGAATTTAATAACAGATCTTTGATTGAATTGCAGGGAATTACAGATAAAAGATAACTATCATGACTCCTTTTTCACTCAATTTCTGACTGCCTATCCTTTCCCTTCTACTTCTATTTATAACATTTCCCTAACTGATTTTGTTTTACCACTTGCCCTGCAATAGAATGTGGTTAGTCTTTCCCGCTAGTAGGTTCTCCACTCTTCTTGACTCATCTAGTGATGGGAGGCCTAACAAAAACGAAATTAGGGTTTTATTTTATAGATTTTCTAGTATTTTCCTACTTAAGTTGGACTAGTTTAAATCCTATATAAAGGGAGCTTATTTATCGTAATAGCTAGATTTTGATATTGAATAAAATCGTACTTTCTCCCTCTAAATTCTCTATTCTTTCCCTCTTCTTCTCTTTCACCTCTTCATCTTTCTTTTCTAATTTCGTTCTTTTTCGATTGTGTTCTACGTACCGCATGTTTTATTTAATATATCTTACCTTTTTCTGTGTTTATAGCTTCATCTTCTCCATTTTAAATTTTTAAAGTGGTAGTTTAAAGTTCCATATCATTCTTTGACCAACATATATATGAATGTATCCTGAAAACAAATTTTTGTAATATCTTCTCCGATGATTAGAAAATAATGACCTATAATGATGGGGAGACAACTAAACTAATTATTAAACTCGCAACATTTCTGTTTACAAGCAGAGATAATCTATATATTTCTGATGTAATCCTAGCATATGTTTGGCAAAGCTTTTAAGTGCTTATAAATTGTTCAAACATCATTTTTAACTACACATTCTTTTGGTCACAATTTTTATTTATTTTTTAACAACACATTCTCTGGGACCCACTGCTTGTTAGCACTTAAAAGTTTAGCCAAGCAAGCACTTCGATATGTTTTACTTATGGTGAAGATACTCCAGGAAACTTAATAGATGGTTGTTCAGTTGTTTGACTTTTTATGGAGGCAACACTTACATCAAATCAAATGTGGAACTTACTCTGCTATGCTAAGCGAGTGCCTAATAACGAAGTCTGTAATGTGTATCTTTGAATAGAACTGAAACTCAATCCTTTTCTACGTGGTTGTAAGCTATACTTTTATTCTATATGATCCCTACTTTAATCATCAACCAAGATACTGAATAATTAGACTTGGTTTAAACTCATTCTCTAATATTTTGTATAATGGCTCAAAGATACCTACTGTCCCGTTTACTAACTCTACAATAAACAAGTACTGGATGTGATTAAGTGGTTGAGAAACTTTAGGCTCATAAACCAACCCTGTTTCTCTCAAGAATTCTGATTTTTGATGTCAACCTAGGCTGTTCATTCGGAAGTAAAAAATGTTTGTCCACTACTATTTAATGATTTTGCTTGAGAGGAGCAGATGGACTGGGTTGCCTTTTTACCTTGCTTTGGTGAAATAATCTTTTTAATTATCTTAAGTTAAAGATGAAGCTGAGGTTGCATGATGTAGATAATGTATTTCTGTAATTCAATCTCGACCAGATACTGAATTTTATATCACTATGTAATTTCTTGATAATTCATCTATTTTTTAATATTGCGACTGGCAAACATGAGTACTTCTCTGACTGTCCTTGTGAATCTGATCTATTCAGTCGTTTCGGCATTTGGCCAGTAGGCATGTTGGCTCAAAGCAAAAGTAAAACGATACTGGAAGGTCCTGTATGCAATGGAAGCCAAGTAATAGGATGGCACACAAATGAGAAGAGTAAAAGATTTCGTAGGTTCCATGTTGACATGTCAGGCTTTGCCTTCAACAGCACCATACTATGGGATCCCAAGAGATGGCATCGACCAACTTCAGATCCAATCCGACAGTTAGACAAAGTGAAGGAGGGGTTCCAAGTATTCATTATCTATTTTCATTTTGATTGCTTGCAATATTAAGGATATTGATGTAATTCACCTTAAAATGCATTGTTAAATCCTGTTTTGATATTGTGAATATTTGCAGGAGACAACTTTCATAGAACAGGTTGTAGAAGATGAAAGTCAAATGGAAGGCATTCCTCCAGGTTGTCATAGGATAATGAACTGGCATCTCCATTTAGAATCTCATGACCTTGTATATCCTAAAGGATGGATGCTTCAGAAGAACCTCGATGCAGTCCTTCCCTCCAAGTCATAGAATCTGATCTCATGCTAATCGCCTATATTGTTTGATCCATGAGGTGTGTGATATATTTTAAGCCTATTACTGAAATGCATACTTGACATCTTTATTAGGGTCTTCCATGTTCCATAATGATGACCATAGTCGTACTGAAATGGGGGTTGGGTGGGGGAAGAAAGTGAGAGTTTGGACAACCAGAAACCCTGACCTCGTGGAAAATTTTGAAACGAGAAGGGTTAAAGAATTGGGTAATGTTTCTCTGTGGAAAGTACGTGCTTTTATACATGAAAGATTGCATGCTACTCAATTGTCCTGTCCTAGTAATCTTGGACGCATACGAAGTAGGAAGTAGGCCTTAATCAACTGTTGGAGAGAAAAGAAGAAAAAGATAGAAGAAAATATGCAGAGAAGGTAAATAACCACTTGGTATAAAAAAATTGGGTCGACTAACTGTTTTAACTCAATTTTTCAGGAAAAGGAAATCAGTATGTTCTTTGGTGGTGGTGCTTTTTCTTTTCAAAGCAAGTCATTGAACCAAGGCATAGTAAGCAGGTCGGAAGCATCACTCCAGGCCCTCCATAGGATATTGTTTGTAGATTTTTGTCTTTGAGAAATCTTTGAGAGGGAGGGAGCGAGGGGGAGAGAGAGACCTCATTTTTTGTGGTGAAAAAAAAAAAAAAAAAAAAAAAAACTCAAAAAAGTTGTTGATTTAGTCATAGCGTGAAAACGCATTATTATGCTTGGAGCTTGTGCTCTAGGGTTGATATGTGACTGAATCTGTGAGTAATAAACCTGGAAGTCAGTAACAATGTTGGATGTTGATGGTGTAACTTTGTGAATTTTCTGCGCTATTTTGTTTTCAACTCAGTTTAAGGCTAGAATAATTCCAGAACCTTTGGTATCCTGTTTGGCCCAACTTAATCCAACTACAATTTGGATAAGCTACATATATATATACACACAAACACGGATATCTAACATGTAATGGCAGAAAGGTGAGATTTATTTTTAAAATAAGTAAATTGTTTATTTTAAAGCACCTAATTATTTATATAAATGGATAGTGGGTCTTCATGGCCAATTTCTACACGGTGTAAATCAACTGGCCGTTGTTAGTGTTTTTACTAATTAATAAATTTATCTTTTTAAGTTTATTAAGCCGAAGCAAACATTTCTACTCTTTTGGGTTAATTCTATTGGCGGCAATTCAGTTTGTCGCAATTGGAATAAACATTCTATTTGGGCTTCGTCAACCTACATAAAACAACATGTTTAATTGGTTGCCAGACATGGTCATCTATGTGGACCTATCCGTCAGATTGGATGTGTCAAAAATGCAACTTATGGAAATAGTTAAAAGCAGTTGAGAAAAACAATGATTTGGATTTCTATTCTTTCTCTAAATCAGTCGTCCTTTCATTTTAGAGCAAGAGAGGGAATTAAATTGAAGGATGAAGAATTCTATGAAAAACACTCCAATGCATAAATGATTATGTCCCTATGAAGTTTCTTGAGTAGATTGCAATTTAAATAAAGTTATAATAAACCCATTTTTTCGTCATACTATTTAAGAAGTTTAGCTAGTAATGATTGGAAATTTCAGTGCTTTAAATCTGCGAAAATTGGAACGACCCAAATCTTTCAATTTGCAGTGATAACTCCCAAACATTTTATTTTTGCGACCACAATTCCAAACATTTTCACTTCGATTGTAGTTGGAGTTAGGAATGTCAAATGAGCCGAATAGCTCATCGGTTCGGCTGCTTGGCTCATTAAAACTCGGCTGGTGGGCGATTTGGGCTAATCAAATGAAGAGCCCGAGCCGAGTAGGAGGCTCAATCCCACGAGCCAAAGTTCATGAGCTCGTGGACTTGTAAAAAATGTGCAAATTTAAAAAATTTTTAAAAATCACGAGCTCGCGAACACCTTGTTGGCTCGACTAGGCTCTCGAGCTCATGGCTCATGAGCTCACGAGCTCACCCCTGAACAATGAGCCGAGCTCGAGGTTGGCTCGTTTTCACGAGCTCGAGCCGAGCTTGTAGGTTATAGGGTCGAGCCGGCTCATTGCCATCCCTAGTCGGGGTCCATTGAATAGAATTCATCAATTAATTCATTTGTCAACCCAAAAAATTAGCCCCTATCCGGGATAGGATTTTGAAGAGATTTTAATGAATTTTTGCTCATTATACAGTCAGTACATGCAGTCCCAATTATTGACAAATATCAAGTAGAATGACATTAACGGTATTTGGTTTTCTGTTGTGTCAAAAAATACGGCTCAAATGGAGACCACGTCTAGTTCCAACAGTCAAAAAATAATTACAATCTCTCCGAAATCACTTCCAAACAGAGCTAAGTGAAGGATAAAATGGTAAATTTATATTTCTTATAACAAAACAATCAAAAAAAATAATAAATAAATAAAATAAAGGAAAAATAGTTCATCTTCTCCAACCCCCCATTTCCACCCCGGCAACCCCACGCCCTTCCTACTTCTTCCCCAAACTCAAAGCGGTTGATGAAATTATTGGAGAATCCAAAATTCTTGTCCAACTCAATAATCACAAACTCACTCCCTTCAGGTATAGTGGTCTCATTAGGCTTCACAGAACCATGCCGCCTCAAGAGCAAAGCTTTAATATGCTTAGGTGGTGATGGTGGTGGGAATCGCAAAGTGGCTGAAGGGGCACTGCATAAGTAGTGGAGTTGGGCTAACAATTTGAACTTGGGTGTCTTCCCAATTGAGTAATTGGGTGGAGGCCTATCGTCTTGACGCGAGAGATTTTTAGAGAAATTTTTTGGGGTCTCAAAAGGTTTTCTCTGAGAAAGTCCCATAGAACGAAGAACCCAATTGATGCTAACAAAAATCGAATCTTTTGATTTTTGAGCTTGACGACTGAGAATGAGTACGAACGAGATTTTCCAACACTTGAAACAAAGGCAACGAGATATATTCTCATTTCCTTCCATGCTTAAGTTAAAGAGAATTTGTGTGTGAAGTTATGAATTGAAAATTATATAAAAGCATACCTGAATAATGAACCGAAGCTCTATATTTATAAAGATAGGTAGTGCACTACTAGTAAGACTGAATTAGTTAAACATCCTTACCTCAAAGAGTCCTACTTGAAAAGGGGTGTTAGACTTGTATTATAACTGCAAAGGCCAATCATAGTTTAACAGTAACATTGTTGAGATAGAGTCATCCTAGACATGGGAGTCTTGGGTTGAGAAACTTCGGGTGAGATTAGATTGCTTAAAGGGGAGATCCTTTTGAGCTTAGATAAGAGGGGCATCGAAACAAAGCAAAGGAAAGCAAAGTTATTAGGGAATCCCGAGGATATAACCTCGAGAACATTCCCACCCAAATCTCTTGGAGGTATGGCGCTATTCCTAGAGCATTATCCTAAGGACACCATTATACCCGATGACTCCATGGCTTCATACATGATGAATTAGTGCATATGGTCTTTGGGGATAGTACTCCTCGAGAGTATGCAAAGAGTGTCCATATCACTGGCTCCCATACATCCGTTCTTAAAGGCTCGAGATTTTAGGGAAGGATGTGCCATAGGTTGAGAATTTTTTTGAATAATAGGAGTGGTCGAGCTTCAATGAGGACTAGGACACATGTCGGAGAGATTACTTAATGTGGACTCTCTGAGTGTTCGGGTGAAGTTATGGCGGTATGAACAGGATCCTTGGATATATGTCATGTAGTATGATCCAACTGCCTAAATGAGACCTTTCACATCCATGCCTATAAATACCCTTTTTACATTTCATTTTTCAAATTTTCACTCGCTGTAAATCTTTCTCTACAAGATTGAGTTCGAGCAACTTCCTTAGAAATACTTTTGGGCATCGAGTAATTTTGAGGTAAGGTTCAAGACCTTAAGTTATTTTCTTTCAAAGAGTGATGTAGAAAAGTGAGAGTGACCAATGTTTTGATAGCTCAAGTGGTAGAGAGGACATAGGAACATCGATCATCTAGATGGCCATGCCTATAGATGCCCAACCTAGGTATCAAAATAACATCGAGTTTAAGTCCCTCAATAAGATATGTAGGTTTAAGGAGCACTTGGCCAGGGCGGCTACTAGAGAGTTCGGGCTAATGCCCAACTACGACATTAGATCGCCTGACCTCAAGGATAGAATGGTGAAAGCTTGGGAAGGAGAGTTTGTCATTTTTAGGGACATTTTTAAGGCCGAATTTTGGTGGCCCTTGTACCATTTCTTTGTAGGTTTGTTGGTCGAGCATTCCATGTACCTAGGACAGATAGTACCCTACGCCTGGAGGATGCTCATTTGCTTTTTATAGTCTATAGGTATTTGGGCATCATACCATACCTTCACATATGTCCCAAGGTGTTCGGGCTCAAACAACTCCCCCAGTTCTCTTATTTTGCATACCTCTCAACTTGAGATGGGATTAAAGTCCCGACCATGCCGAGCTCGTTAAAGGGGTGAAAGGATAGATGGTTTTATTTAATTGCTCGAGACCCAACCTTCCCTTTTGGTTGAGGTAGGGTGTCTCAAACACTGCCAAGTTCCATGAGGGTTAGGCATATTTTGAGTCATTAGACCGGGATAGGAAAATGCTCGAGGATCTTGGTCCTTTGTTGCCGAACATGAAAGACATCAACAGGGACGACGTGTTAGACCTCGCGGATGTAAAAGGCATCAAGGGTAGAGTTTTCTTCATAACTTTTTAAATACACCTCTCCAATGCTTTGTCATTCTAATGGCTTGTGATGTCTTTTGCAGATGTCTTTCAATCCTTCTACTTTACGTAAGTACGTGAACATAAAGGCCGAGGCTCCTCAACCTAATGCTTCTAGCCAACGAAGGGAAAGAAAAGGTCGAGGATTTTGAAGAGAAACCGGTCGATGAGAGGGCCTGGCTAGTCCTGATAATCTCGACCACCTAACCCACTGAGCCCTTCACCACATCATCAGCAATCGTCCTCTCCTCGAGTCTTGCCTCTTCAACATACTCATAATGTTGACGATCTTGAGGATAACTCTATTTTGACTATGGCCTCGATCATCGAGGATTGTGAGCATTGCCACCTTGTCCTGAGCATAGTGGCAAAATATAGGGGATGAAGGCTCTCAAGCTTCTTACTCTGAAGGTAAATCGTGACCTCATTCTAAACAAATGTCTTTTAAAGCTATTTTCTCAATTTTAATGCTCGTTATTTATATTTTAGACTCTTAGTGTTGCTCGAGGTCTTTCTCTACAAGGGATGGATGAGTCCCATAAAATGATCGGGCTTGTGGTGTCCATGGAGCTCAGGGATAAGAGGATCGCTGATCACCAGGGTGAACGTAAGCAACTTTTGAAAAAGCATGAAAAAGCCAAGACTGTGATTCGCAAGGCTGAGGATGCCAAGCTTGAGCTCGAGGAAAAATGCTAAGAGTACAAGGCTAAGATTGCTAAGGGGAGTATGGGTCAGGGGCCTATTTCCATACCTTCCAAGCTTTCCTTTTCCCCAAGCTCCCCGACGTTCAGCCGAACGACCTTAATACTATCCTTGATATAGCAAATAGCATCGAGCTGTCTGAATCAGATTGGACTATTGTTCAGGACAATAAGGTTGATGTAATGATCTCCGGCCATGTCCCCGAACATGATGATTTAGATTAAGGAACCCCCATTCCAACTCTGTACTCCTTGAGCTCTTCTTAATGATGTAAAACATATTTCATTTTCACAAGTACGTTGCCCGACCATTGTGTGGGCTTTTTATGTTTTTGATTTTTCTGAATGAATGAGCATTTGGCGAGCTCAATTTATTGATCCTTTTATATTTTGTTGAATGTGTTTATCTCGACGACATGTTCGAGCTTACAATTCTCAAAGAG